GTCACCAAAGGCACCACTCGCTCCTTCATATTAAAGCCGCTCAGCCAAAAGCAACTATGAAACGAAGGCAACAGACAAGCACATCAGACGACTCAGAGAACGTCGCGTCAACTTCTGCGCAGGCCCAGGCAAGACAGGATGCAGCCAAGGTAAATAGAAGTCCAACAAACAACGTAAAGTCATGTTTTGCTAACACAAACAAAGGGATTTTATTAGGAACAGCACGTGTCAATATATACTTCAATAATACTAATTTTTCGGCCCGCGCCCTGATATATTCCGGTTCAGAGTGCTCGTTTATAACTGACAGACTTAAACGTAGGATTCATTTACCATCAAAAATGTTGCATGCCTAAGTGTCAGGCATTAATTACACTGTTTCAGCTCAAGTTAAAGAAGCGTGTTTCATCCAGTTGCCGTCACCGATAGACCCTTTAATCAACATAGATACCACAGTGCTAGTTTTACCACAGCTTACAGGGAATTTACCGACGTGCCCAATCGACGCTACGACAAAGCAAGCATTTCCAGATATAGTATTAGCAGACAAGAGATTCTTCGTAAATGAGCAAGTTGATCTTGTCTTAGGTGGTGACATTTATGCCCAAATAATGTTGAGCGGAATCAGAAAGAATGTTCTAGTTACTCTTCTTGCTCAGGAAACAGTATTCGGGTGGATACTAACCGGTCAGACTGAAACAATTTCTACCGCCAATAAATGTGTCTCGTTTTTTAACGAGGTTACCCTGGACAAGCGTCTAGCCTCGGTTTGGGAGTTAGAGGATATCTCAAAGAGCAAAACCTACAACAAAGAGGAAGTTTACTGCGAGGAGCTTTATAAAAGCACGACAAAGCGGAACAGTGAGGGAAAGTACATGGTGTCGTTGCCATTTAAGCAGGACTTCCCAAAAAGCGCCCAGTTAGGGCCCCCACTAAAAATCGCCTGCTCACAATTTTTTCATAATGAAACGCGTCTAGCAAAAGACCCACCCTTACAAACTGAATATAAAAGAGTATTATCTGAGTACGAAATTTTAGGACATATGACGCGGATTTCCCACCATATTCCGAGTTATGAATGTGAGAATTATTTTCTACCTCATCATGCTGTCCGGAAGGAAGAGAGCACTACCACCAAAGTACAAGCGGTTTTCAACGCAGCATGTCCGACTGCAAATGGGGTGAGTCTTAATGATGTGATCCATCCTGGTCCAGTCCTTCAAAATGATTTGACAACTTTAATACTTCGGTGGATGTTATTCAAGTATGTTTTCAATAGCGACATCGAAAAGATGTATCAGCGTATAATTTTTCGAACAAGCCCAACCGAACCAATTGGTCTTTATGAGCTAAATACTGTGACTTTCGGTGTCAATTGCGCACCTTA